TTTTAAAGATTTATTTTATTTATTATATATACAGTGTTCTGTCTGCATGTATCCCTGCAGGCCAGAAGAGGGCACCAGATCTCATTACAGATGGTTGTGAACCACCATGTTGTTGCTGGGAATTGAACTCAGGACCTGGGGAAGAACAGCCAGTGCTCTTAACCTCTGAGCCGTCTCTCCAGCCCCCCACATTGGTTTTCATGAAATTACATCCTGTAGGTTACTTCCCAGGCCGGAGGTTCGCAAGCCCCCTCTAAAGTCATCCCTTGAGGCCCCTCCCCTCATTCTGTCCCCTTGAAGCTCCTCCCAGCTATCAAAAAAAAAAAAGACGCTGTTTACGAGCAGGTAAATGCACCACCTGCTTGAAGCAGGCATGCTAACTCGCCACACAGCACCTTCCAGCTGCAGCGGCTCTCTCCAGCACAGGAGCCCAGCAAGCGTGGCCTATCCTCTGCATTCTTTTCTCACTGCTGCACTGCTTCCTGCGGTCATTGCCAATGCAAGCAGTTAGGGGTTGAGTTTTGTGTTTCAAGATGAGCATGAGAGCCGATGCCCATAGTCCCAGCACCTAAGGCTGAGGAAGGAGAATAGTCTTTAGTTCAAGGGCAGCCTGGGCTACCTTGTGAGGCCCTGCCACAAACAGCTGGGAGTCCAGGTGAGCCACCACATCCAGCTAAGGCCAAGAGCTGTAAGCCATTCTCCTAGGGTAATACAGCCAACGTGTGATAGAATGGGGAAGGTGTATAGGAACGAAAAGAGTGTTCTGATGGCTGGGTGGGATATGTGGTCTTGCGCTGCCGTTCATTTGCTTGGTCCTCTCACTACATCACTATAAAGCCCACACAGCTCCCCCCACCCCCACCTCACTTCATAGTAGTCATTTTATTTAGAGCAGAGACGTAGACAACACTACATGAGAACAGTGGGACACATGGGTGAAGATTCTCAGGGGACACTCACAGCTTAAAGACTTAGCTGTGGTGGCAATGGTAGCTCAGGGCTTTAATCCCATCACTTGGAGGCACAGGCAGTCAGATCTATGAGTTCGAGGCCATCCTGGTCTACAGAGAGAGTTAGTTCCAGGACAGCCAAGGGTACACAAAGAAATACTGTCTCAAATACCAAAACCAACCTCCCCCCCAACAATGTATCCATTTATTATTGTCTGTGTATGAGTGTTTGCCTATTTGTGTGCCTGTGCACCACATACATGCCTAGTGCTAATGGAGGCCAGAAGAGGGCACCAGATCCCCTGGTACTGGAGTTACAGTTATAAGCCACCATGTGTGGGTGTTGGGAGCCAAATGAGGTCTCTCTGCAAAAGCAGTAATTACTCGTAATGACTGAACCCTCTCTTAAGCACTCCCTGATATGTATTTGACAATTATTTATCATTCTCTTTTTTGAAATCTTCCTGTTTAACTAATTTATTCTGCGAGTGTGTATGGATGTGTGTGTTGTGTGTGTGTGTGCATGTGTACATGTGCCAAGGCAAATATGTAGAGGTCAGAGGACAGTCTTTTAGAGTTGTCAGGCTTGGCAGCAAACACCTTTACCCACCGAACCATCTTACTTATCCTTATTTCTTATGTTCATTTGCTCTTCTACATTAAATGGCTATCCTCCTTAATTAAAACTATATAAGCCAGGGGGCTGGAGAGATGGCTCAGCGGTTAAGAGCACTGGCTGCTCTTCCAGAGGTCCTGAGTTTAATTCCCAGCAACCACATGGTGGCTCACAGCCATCTATAATGAGATCTGGTGCCCTCTTCTGGCCTGCAGACACACATGGAAGGAATGTTGTATACATAATAAATGAATAAATCTTAAAAAAAAAAAAACTATATAAGCCAGCCGGGTGGTGGTGGCACATGCCTTTAATCCCAGCACTCGGGAGGCAGAGGCAGGCGGATCTCTGTGAGTTCGAGGCCAGCCTGGTCTACAAGAGTTAGTTCCAGGACAGGCTCCAAAGCTACAGAGAAACCCTGTCTCGAGAAAAAAAAAAAAAAAACTATATAAGTCATCCAGTTAAGAAGACATACGTTGTTGAGGCTTCTGGCAAGTTAGTAAGCCAGTAAAGAAAAGGGTGAGAGGGATTAAGGATGGACTTCAATGCTAGAGCACTTACCTAGCATGTGCAAAGCTCTGGGTTTGATTTCCAGCAATACAGTTCCTTCTGGACTAGAGGGAAGAGTTTAGTACTGCAGTGTTCTGAATGGGTGGGACTTCTCGAGCAGTAAGCAAGGTTAAGTGAGGTGGATGAAGTGGCTCATGTCTGCCATCAGCGTTCAGGTAGTTGAGGAGAGGAGGCTGCTCACTGTTAGAGAGAGCAGTCTGAGTATGCAGTGAGCTCCAGATCATCATGTTTCAAACAAATAAAAGTGGCTGGGAGGCAGAGGCAGACAGATCACTATGAGTTGAAGGCCAGCCTGGTCTACACAGTGAGTTCAAGGTTGGCCAGTGCAAAGTAAGACCCTATCTTTAAAAAAAAAAAAAAAAGTTCAGGTGTGGTGGCTCATTCACGTAATCCCAGCACTTAGGAGGCAGAGGCAGGAATCCAAGGTCCTCCTTGAAGGCCATCTGGCTTGCTTGATTCCCTGTCTGTAAAAATGTCAAGGGGGCTGGAGGAGAGATGGCTGCTCTTCCAGAGGTCCAGAGTTCAATTCCCAGCAACCACATGTTGACTCCCAACCATCTATAATGAGATCTGGTACCCTCTTCTGGCCTGCAGACATACAGAACAATGTATACATAAGAAAGACACAAATCTTTAAAACTAAATAATAAGTTATGTTTATTTATTAAAAAAACCAAAACAAATGTCAAACCAAAAGGTAGAATGAAG